ATAGTAGCCTGTTTAGTGTTGTCTAGGTTTGTTCTAGGTTTGTAGCCCCAGTTTAGTTAGTTTGTTTTGTTGTCCAAACCCGGTCACCATCTGTCTAATGCAATTTTCTATTTTCTGTGATTTCTAGTCATTTTCGTTTAGTTCTCTTTTCTTTTATGGTTCTTTTCCTGTTGACTCTAGTGACGTGACATGCACACGTAATTCTCAGCCTGGTTTTAAAAGTCAATTTAATCATGAAGCAATGAAACTATGTTGAAGATGTAGGGACATTTGAGGGAAATAAGTAAAGGCATTTTGAGATCACTTCAAGCCCGAATTGTGTGAAACTGGGGCAGATAGAACATAAAGAACCCCTATTGAAATGCATCCTGCCGCATCAATTTGAAGATAAAAGCAAGTTTGCCCCAAATTTGTAGGGGGTCGTTCGTGGTAATGAGAGTGAGAGTGTTGTCCAATGGGGATTGGTAATTATTAGATGTAAAAGGCGATTGTGTGGACATGGTTATCAAGTCTAGTACAATCAAAAGATGTTACAAATGTTTTCCTTGGTCTGTTTAATTGTGTAGTTTGTACTTGGCATGTTTTGAAGATTGGAATGATGAAGGCATTTTGTTCTGCTATCTAAACACCTTATCCTTCGTTACCCCTTTGAGCCTTATTTATTTTCTTTCATACCCCTCTTTCGGAATCAGTAGCAAAGATCAGAAACACAAGCGTGAAAGATAAGTAAAGGAATAGGATAAAAGAAAAGAACGAAAAGGGAGAGAAGAAAAATGAAATTGAAAAAAAAAGAAAAGAAAAAAAAGAAAAAAGAGGAAAAAGAGGAAAAGAAGAAAAAAAGGAGAGAGAGAAAAGTACAAAAACGAAGCAATTCCTATGACATGAACTACGTTCGACCTGATTCCTTTTAAGGATACGTAGGCAGCCTCACGGTTCGGTCCCATCAAAATAAAATCCAAAAGTCCCCAAACAAGAAACTGGGGCAGAAGCTGTGGTTGTTGTCAGAAATCCGATTCCGAAAGTTGTAATTTTGAACCCATTTGAATTATTTCGAGCCTTTGATATCATTTCTTCTTAACCCTGTCCAAAAGCCCACATTACGGTCCAAAGAAAGACCTTCTGATCAGTCTTTGAGAAATGCCAAGTCAAGCAGGTAAAGGTAATTCATGTTAGGGGCAACACTCTAGTTCAAGAAGAAAAATAAAAATGAGAGTCTTATTGGTGAAAACCTTCACAGGCACCGTAAGGTGATGGAAGCTGAGAGAACTAAAAATGAGAGAGTCTTATTGGTGAAAACCTTCACAGACACCGTAAGGCGATGGGAGTTGAGAAAAATAAAAATGAGAGTGTCTTATCGGTAAAAACCCTCACGGGGACCTTAAGGCAAAAGTGAGTTGAAAAGTCAACAAGTGAGAAAGGTCTGTTGGTGGGAAAACTGTTTCAAGGCACCACAGGATGAACAAGGCCGAAGTTTGGGTAAAGTAATCAAGTCATGGAAATTCTAGGGCAACAAAGTACGACAACTGAAAGTTGATTGGTTGGACAGATTGGGCCGATTAATCCGAGATGCATGTCATGATCATTGGTACCAGCTGTTCCACCCAGATAAGTTTCTTTTTCCTTCTCCTTCGGTAGCAGTCATCTAGTTTTGGATTCTTCTTATCCTTAACCCGCAAAGTCATTGCATTTCATTTTCTTTTGGGTATTTATCTAAAGATGTTTCAATGTCAGTCTTGTTCAAATCGAGTGAAAAGGATTTCAAAGCTCACTACCAACTTCCAAAATTGCAAAGCACGGAGTGGTTAAAGCATACTAAGGATAACACGATGTAAGGGGAGGGTACAAGGAATCACCGGAAGTCTCATCGGTGGAAGGGACTGGTAATGTCATGGGGAATGCAAAGGTTCAGATAAAGGGGTCAGAGGTAAACAATAGCGGGAGTATAGAACGCTCGGCTCCTTAAAATTCATGGGGTTTGAAAGTCAGGTCAGAAAGTCAAAGCGGTTCAGGGCCAGTTCAGAAAAGCCAGTCACAACAAACATTGCAACAGAAAGATCTTCATAAAGAATGCCATCAGCCAACCACCACTTTAAACTAACAAAATTTTCTTTGATTGAAACAGGGGCGGAAAATTCGTTGGATTCAGAGAAACTCTCCGTGGAGAAAGGCAGTCACCAAACAGGTTTGATTCTTGATTTTCAGGACCCTCCTGGAAAATGAGACCTAGTTTAATGTTCAGAAATAGCATAATCTAGCATAAATGTATCCCAAAGGAATATAAGTTGGCTTAGAAGTTTGCATGTTCGAGATAGGATTCAATTTGGAGTTTCCAGGACCCTCCTAAATAATGGGACTTAGCTTTAAAATTTCGATTAGATAACAACATTTAGCGTAAACTCTGCTGTAGGGTAGTATAATTCAGACATGAAAGTTGTCACCTTTAAGATAAAATTTGACCTTTGATTTTCAGGACCCTCCTGGATAATGGGGAATAGTTTAAAGATTCTCTTAGATAGCAATATTTAGTAGAAGTCACACCTGTAGAAGATATAACTTAGATTTAAAATTGTCGTTTAGTTAAGAGTTGTCAGGACCCCCCTGCAATGTGACCTAGCTTTTAAATTCTTAGTAATATTTGGTAATATGATTCAGTGTAACACTCACATATTTGCCTAGTTACCAAACTGGGGCAGACAAATTATCTTTGTTTTTGTCTATTTTGTTGAAGTCAGGAGCCCTCCTGGAGAGCAGGGAATACATTTCAAGTTGAAGTCAGGAGCCCGCCTGGAGAACAGGGAATACTTTCAAGTTAGCAGTTAGGAGCCCGCCTGGAGAACAAGGGAGTACAATTTAAACTTTAGCTTTTAAATTCTTTGTTTTGTCTATCTTGAAGTCAGGAGCCCGCCTGGAGAGCAGGGAGCACTTTCAAGTTGAAGTCAGGAGCCCGCCTGGAAAGCAGGGAATACTTTCAAGTCAGCAATCAGGAGCCCGCCTGGAGAACAAGGGAGTACAATTTAAGTTTTAGCTTTCAAATTATTTGTTTTGTCAATGTTGAAGTCGAGAGCCCGCCTGGAGAGCATGGAATACTTTCAAGTCAGCAGTCAGGAGCCCGCCTGGAGAGCAGGGAATACATTTCAAGTTAGCAGTCAGGGGCCCCTCCTGGAGAATTGGGTCAGTTTTTACTTTAGTCGAACTTACTTTATAGTTTTCCTAGTCTATTCTTTAGTTTAATTTCATCATTGCATCAATAGTACAAGTGGTTTACAATTTTGCTAACAACCCACAAATATTCCTAGTGCAAACTGGGGCAAAAAATTTATTTATTTTGTCTATTTTGTTGTAATCAGGCACCCACCTGGAGAACAAGGGGAAACAACTCAAGTTTCTAGGGAAAGCAGTGTCGAAGGAAGACAACTCGAGTTTCAAGGGAAAGTAGTTTCGAAGGAAGACAGTTCGAGTTTCAGGGGAAAATAGTGCAAGGTGCAAGAGAAAACAGTAACAAGAGAAGACGGTTCGAGTTCAACAGTCAGGCATCCACCTGAAGAAAAGGAAAAGCATCTCAGATTGCAAGTCAAGTCAGCAACCAAAGAATCTCGCGGCAAGAATGCGAGTCAACAGTCTGAGGTGATTGACAGAAGTTAGTCACAACAAAGAAAAAAGAAAGGCAAGAAGTGAATCCAAATGCAGAAGTTGATGAAAGATGTGGGTTGCTCAAAACATGGCCGAGGTAATAAGCATTGCATACCTGGTCTTGATCCGAAAAGTTGAAGAAGGATGAGCTAGCACCTGCAGCTAACAAGCGTCAAGGTTCAAATCTAAAGTTTGCATGAAGAACCATTCAAAACTCAAGATCAAGCTTCAGAAGACTTATAGATAGGAATCTTGTAACTCGTAGTTGATAGGCTTAGCTAGTCTTTTTCATGTTTTGATTTTTGATGTAACAACAGGACTGCGGACCGGAACCTCGGCAGAATGACACCTCGACCGGATCTCCACCTCGGTATACTCCATCACCTCACTCATTTATGAACTACACGTGGCCTGATTCCTTTATAGCCAAGGATATGTAGGCAGCCCAGATAC